AAAAAAATATATATGTATATTGACGTGTTATAGTTAGTTCAACCCGTAAATATCTGTATAAAAGTTTTAATGTTTTGTTTATAAGTTAAATTGAAAAATATAAGAACTAATAATATTTATCAAAGTATAATCAAGAAATTCATGTGTTACTCTGGCAAATAATATTATGAGTATGACATGCATATTGGACATATAAATTTTATATTTAATCAGTATTATTTTGACTTTTTCTAGCTTTACCTTCACTAGTTAAAGATGGACTGAATTCCCTTCATTTTACAGAAATTATTTGAAAGAGATATGTGTGGACTCGCTCACCCTCTACACGGACCATTTAGGTATTTTAAAAGATACATTTACTAGATAGTCACAATTAAGTCGATTATCCACTCGTAACCTAATATTTTCACTATTTTCAGAAATTATTTGTGGGTAATATGGCAGGACTCACTCACCTCCACATGTACTATTTAGGCCATGTTTGAGCTACATTATTTTTTACATTTTCATTCTTCTACTCATTTTCAACAATACATTCTTCAATAAAAGAATATTTTATATCACATCAATAATTTTTCCTTCTTTTTCAACTATATATTCACAATCACATCAACAGTAAAAATACATTCTTTTTCAAAAAGTGTACACAAAACAGGGGCTTAAATATTTTAAAAGATGTCTCTACTAGGTAGTACAAGTAAGTCTATTATCCACTCGCAACCCGAAGTTTGTGATGTAACACTTAATATCATTCCTCATGAGAACTAATTTTCTTATTTATTTTTGAAGACATGACATTTATATGAATCATAAGCTAAAATATTATTGCAAGTCTCCTATCAATATTGATTTTCTTTTCAAAGAATGTTAGGAATATGTGTTGGATCTTAAATCACTTCTATATAAAATAACCAATTGTAATATTGTATTACAGCATGATTTGCCAACAGCCAACTGCCATTATTTACGAGACTGTTTTACAGCATGGTTTGCCAACAGCCAACTGCCATTATTTACGAGACAGTTATCCCAGCAGCAAGAGGAGAAATCAAATTGCTGAAAAGGAAATTATATAAAATGCATCACATTTATTCTAGCACAAGGCAATGTGAACCAGATATTCAATAATAATATCAAATCATTTACCATATTCAATACTAACAGATTACATATACCAAGCTATAAATGCTTCAATTTTCACTGATAATATTCGAGTTAAAAAATCTATTATTAATAATCTGACTCATCAAGTGTCTATAACTAGTTTAATCATTTTTTCATTATGTGAAAGGAAAATTAACATGAGATTGAGATGTTCTCCGGTTAGATATGCATGCATATTATCTCTCGTATTCACATAAAGATCATAATTAGAACATGTGTTTAAACATAGAGGAATAGTTGTATCCTTTAAATTTGTAAAGCAAACCTTGACAGAAACATCTTCAAACCATTATGAAACTATTGCAACCATGAAGCAAGTCGATAATGTGTTTGGTTAAGAAATAGAATTATGCTAGTTGTAAAATTCTAAAATTCTGGATGACATGATGAATGACATTGTGTGATGTGTGAGAAATTGTGTTGTTGATTTGAATAAGTTTTGTTAAAATCAATAGTTCAAAGTGTTGCTACGTCAAAGAATGTCATCCATGATAACAAACTTAACTTACTTATAGCAACACTGTAAGAAATGTGACATTTCATATCCAAGTATCATACGATTAAGTTTAATTTAAGAGTTTTGACAGTTTCTCAATTCTCTTATAACTGTTTCTCAATTCTCTTATATTATTCTCTCTTTTCTCTTAGGTTTATATCAAGTTTTAATATAACCACACTTATAGATGTCCCCATTTAATGACTTAATTTGTTACAGTTATAGGTGTAACACAATATTCAAACTCGAATTGTGAATATTTTCACGTTAGCAAATGTTTTCACATATATTGCAAGTCTGGTATACAAAATTTAAGTGGTTCAAAATTGACCCTATTAAGAATGACGAGTGGACATATGCTTCCGTTTGTTTTTCATTTTTCATCCATAAAAATAAAAAATATGATCGTTATTCATCACATCAAGCCATCAATTTTAAATTTATATCTCTTGTGTGGGGCCCAATAACAATTACATTTTTCGTTCTCAATCTACAATAATGAGAATCAAATAGGTATGTTTGATTCTCATTATTGTAAAATGAGAATGAAAAATAATTTAAGCAGGGGTCCCACAAATTAACAACTTAATTTGTTAACATTACATTTTCAAAAAACAAATTCAAACTCTAATTCATTACTTACTTGATTCATTATAAGTCATTGAACAAACTCCTCTCATTTTGTTTTGCAACTAAAAAAAATTAAGAAAACAGAATGGAGAACACAAAAATCAGCGAAGTAATGACAAACAAATAAGATTTCAAATTCTTTTTTTCTTACAAGTACTGTATATTCGAACCTGCCAAACATCCTTACTGATTTTTAGCATCCAAGAATTGGGAAAACCATAAAAAATATCATTTTTTTTCCGACATGAGACATTTCCAGTGTCATTGAGGTAAATTCTGCATAAAAATAGAATGCTAGGACCACCTAGCATAAGTGCAACCTTTCATGGGACATACATATCCATATCGATCTATGACAACGCAATCCTAAATATCGTGCAGAAGGTGAGTCGAACATGCCTAGAAGATGCTAAGCTCGTTGAAGCTGAACCATAGCAGCTCACAAAATGGAAAAAGGAAGAGACGACGAATAGATAGAAAGGTAAGAACTAAGAAGAAACTATGAAAAACTCCACTATAATAGTGTCAAAAATTTCTTATATATGCAGTTCAAGCAAAAGTGTCAGGTAAACATAAACAAGATGATTTTACGCTCTCTACCATACTTCGATCACAAAATTCTCCTACTTTGAAGAGATTATTTCAAAAGCAAGATTCACATCAGAATGAACTAGTTGAATCATTACAAATACGTGAGGGAAAAAGCTTTAAGATGCATTTACACTGACCAAATTTATAATCTGCGGGAAGAGACTGATTTCCATATAACATTTATTTTGATGAAATCATACACACCTCAAAATAACAGGAATAAAAACGCCTAGAGAACATTCTCCTCCAGCCTTCAAATAATTGCTAAATATCAAGTAAAATCAAATTGAATACAAAATCCAGCTTCTGCATTTGGATTTGGAAGAAAAGGTTCTATCAAATACTAGCTATCCAACGTATCAAATACTAGCTATCCAACTGGGTAAATAGTCACCTCGGTCCTATCCTTACAGAAACCATACATTAATGACTATGAGAAATACGAGAATGATCAACTGACAACCTCAGGAGCCCTTTCCTGGAAGAGTTCTGCATTAGCATGCTGATAAAGCAAATAAATGTCATGCCCTCTATATTACTAAGTTCATTTTGCGAAAATATTAACCACCACTGATCATTAGATATGCACAGAGCTGTGATAGGCAAAATGGATGGAATTGTCCATTTCATTCTAAATGTGAGAGAACTCCCACTTAAATTTGGATTGATTCTTCTCAAACTTAAGTTTGAGGCTCAAATTCAATAATGCCAAAGCAGAAATAAAGCTTAAAACATCACGAACTCTTATCTAGTCTTCTTGCTGCAATAGTCCAATGAGTATTGCATGATAATAAAGCTGGACAAACCACAGTCACCACAACAAATAGACTTTGAAGAAGACCAAGAAAAGACTGTTTATAAAAGCAGAATAAAGAAATAGGAAGCAAAATTGTTTGGATCTTGTCCATACTACCAATTCATGGTATAGAATGCAGCCAGCTAGGATTTGATAATATTGCTCCAGATATATGGCTTTGAATGGTATATCAAAACATTTTCTATCTTGAAATGATAACAATTTAGGCAAACACAATAGATTAATGTGATTGAGTATTTACATTTAAACACAAGTGCCAAATACCAGTTTAGCTATTGCTTAAGATTGTGATTGACCACTGACACAGTGCAGTATGATGCACATCCCAAATCCCAAAATTAACAAATTAATTCAAGCAGTTATTTGCAGTATGATGAGTACCAAACTCCAGATTAACAAACCGTAAAAAACACTCATGTTGTGCTTTGTGCGTGACGAGAGAGAATACGAGGAATCTCTAACACAATATCTAAGCATTGTGAAAAAACTTCTATTTGAATAATTCTTAACTCAAAGACATTGATATTATTTAGGATAATGCATTTCATAAATATCTTAGAATATCCACATTCTTACAAAAATTTATTTTTTCAAAACTCATTTTCAACCACACATTTTTCAATAAAATAATATTACACGCAAATTCAAAAAATTTCCTTATTTTTTAACCACATATTTTTCATCAAATCATTATTTAAAATGATTTTCNTTAAATCACTATTTAAAATGCATTCTCCACTCAATAATGTACATCAAACAGGGTATTAATTGCACAAGCAGGTCACATAAATGCATATTAATATCACTTCCAGTTTCATGCAAATATAATATATAGTATGTCATCCATAACCAGACAATGAGTGAGATAGCCTCTAGTAATTGCTTTCTAAGTTGCGTTTCTGGGTCAACAGGAGCTTACTCACACAATCATTAGTATATCTAGGAAAGCAAGAAACAGCAAATCATTCACAATCCATTCCTCACAAGTAAACATGGCAATAGAACATGAAAGTTTTCCACTCAAGTTAGATGGATAAGCATGTTTCGCTTTGCTTTAAAGTTGCTTTTTAGCTACTTTTTTAAGAAGTATGTCTTACCATACTTCACTAAAAAGTAGCTTTTAGCTTGTCAACGTCTTGCAATCAAATACAAATATCGATGTTCATCTTACAATAGACCATTTGACATATTCAGTGTCCAAAGCTCTGACATAATCACAATGTATAGAACTATCATCTATGTTATAATACAAGTGAAGAAAGTTCTAAAAATTACCGCCATAGTTGTGTATGAATGTAAACATTAAAATTGATGATGAACTGAAGAGCCAAGTTGCAATTGCCACTCCATGCAGTCCTCAAAATCAAAGCTACTCGCACAGTCCAAGAGCGCATTTTGTTGATTCTCATAACGACATATATAATTTAAACCAACAAGTATCTCACAGATGGCTGCCTCCATCTTTTCACGATCAGCGAAATATAATGTCTGGATCAAAAGAACATTTGTTCTTGTGACAATTTGATGCTGCTCAAAATTACGCTCGCTTTGCCACCTGATCATGTTATGTGCTAGTGGGGCTAGCCATTTAAGCATTTCATTAAGCCTCTCCTTCCAATCATGGGCTAGTGGCGCATCATAAATTGCCAGGTCTTTTATATAAGACTTCAATTTAATCTTCAGAATCTTTCGTAGGCTTGCTGGCAGCATCTGATATAAATCATCTCTAGCTTCTTCGCCAACTAGATGTGGGTAACGTAGCAGTTTCTCTATGACAATTATAACATTTGCATAATGCAGGGCTAAAGCAGAGCCTCCAACAGTGCTAGGAGGAGCATACACCATCAAACTACTTTTAGGTCCAAACCTCACAACATTTACTGAACCAGACTTACACGGCCTCTGGTTATCACCGAAAGGATCACTGTTCAGGGAACGAATGGAATAACCAGAAAGATTGAGTTGTTCTCTCTTCACACCACTTGAAACACTGCAGCGTCCTGAAATTTGACTGCTTCGATCATCATGACTAACATAATCATCATCGTCCACTTTCAAAGTCGAGTTGCTCAAACTTAAACATTCCATAAACATCCTCCCGGACACCATAGCACATTTAAAATTGAAAGCCTCAGGATCAAACAAGCCACAAACACTTTTGTGCAACTCAACCTGAGGCCTAAAATTTAACGTCTTCTCCTCTGACTGCACTTTCTCAATGGGAACTGAATGACCATAACCACTACTCTTGGCTGAAAATGACTTTGTTGAACTAGCATTTGTTTGAACTGCTAGGTTTAAATCCAATTGATTGGATTTATGTCCAGATTCTTGCTTCAATTGCTGCAAACTTCCACTAAAATTAACCTGTGACCTGGAAACCGAAGCATTCAAAATGTCCTTTTTTGAAATGCCATCCCCAAATGTTATACATATCCGTGCATAGACCGTACACACAGTCCTTGCCAGCAGCTCAACAACCTTATCATATGTTCGGTTCCAAAGCGAAACATCCTTCAAATGTCTCACATCTTGTTTCTGCCACATCAATTTCTGTTCGAAAGCCTTCCTACTCTCCTCATGCTGGTTTTGCTGAAACTTCTTGGTGGCCACCTCTAGCTCATTCATGACCTCAATTTCGCTATACAAACTAGCTGTGGAATTGACAAACCTCTCCATTTTCCTCATCATACTTTCCATATCCTTCACCAAGAATCCCAACTCTTTCACCTCAATCAACCCAGAAACAAGGTCCAAATACACATGCTCAAATCCTTGCAAAACTGGAATTGTACATTTCTTCCCTAACCTAGACACAACACTAGCAACCCTATTCAAATCATCTAGTTTTTCAACAAGGGCTATCTCTAAAAGCATTGATTCATCATTAGTCACAAGGGCTTTTATTCCCTCAGACTTCAAGATCTCATTTTTAAGCTTAACAATCTCAACGTCAGTCAAGGATTTATGCAAGTGAATAATCTTGGACATCACATTAGCAACTTCAAATGAAAGAATTCCAATAACTTGTTTTTCTTGCTGACCTTGTTTCTTGGATGATGACTTTTTTGAATTATCAAGAAGCGAAGCATGCTTTAAACTGCCATTCATTTGATTTCCCATCTTTAATATCCAAGTTTCAGCCACCATTTCTGTCTCTACTCAACCATATATCGGAAAAACAGAACCTTGGCTTCAGATCTGGCTACAAAATTTTCCACTTGCATTAGCTAAGAATATATGCAAACAGCTGAAGTGCAATCTTGGTGCTTCAGGAAAATAAAGCCCAGATTTTTTTTTCCTTTAGCATGCAACTGCAAATTGGGTAATATGTAAGAAAGAGAGAATGGAGGGAAAAACTAAAGAAAGGAGGATTACTGATTGATAATCAAGGGGGACTTTTCCAATGCCAGGGGTGTGTGTGTTTTTTCAGAGAGATTTGCAATGTAATGATTTTTCTAAAAGGTAAAGACAGTTGGGAAGGATTCAAAGTTTATTAGGTTTATAACTTGGAATTTTCCCCTTCAAATTAAAAAAAAAAAAAAAAAATCCTTGTAATATAGTTTAGTTTTTCCTTTTTTTTTTTCTTTTTGCTTCACTTTAAATATTTTAATTTGGTGACACACCATTTTGACTTGTTGACTTTATATCTTTTTTTCAACATTCACAATATTTTGATAAGTTCAATTACAACTCAAAAATATTTTAAAGTTTAATACGTATTGAGAAATATTTGAAAAAGTTCTGTGACAATACTTAACCATTTCAAATGTGAAAATTCCTCGACCAATGTCATGCCATGTCATTAAATTGGTTAATTTTTTAAAACGACGAATGATGAAGTGACGGATAAATTAATATTTTGATAATTTCAATAATAATTCATAAGCATTTTAAAGTTTAATGAAAGTTAAGAAACATTTGAGAAAGTTCGAATTTTTGGATTCGTATATGGGTGGTTTATAACTTTCAATGATTTTTTTTTTCATCATTTTGCATCTTTTTATTTGGCGAGATACCATTTTGATTTTATTATTTTTTTAAGAAATGTACCCTATGGAAAAATTTAATTTGGTCAAAATTTAACGAAAATAATATTTAAATCACAGTATGTTCAGGTGGGCAGTAATGGAGAACTTCAATGGGGTAGGTGAAAAATAAGCTTTTGAATTTGCATGTGAACAAGAATTAAAATTCAAATAAAAAAACATTAGTTTAGAATTTGCCATTGGTAGAGAAATTTAATATGCCTCTGTTTGGTTTAGATAAAAATCAGAATTTTTATTAATTTTAGTCTGTGTGTATTTTATAATTAATTGTTGATAACTTAGATTTTAATCCCTTCTTAAGTTGAATTAAACATGAATTATATGGATTTGTTGATTTTGTTTGTGGACTAGAATTGAAAATTCAAATAAAAATTTCCATGAATCGATAAAATTAAAATGTGAATACGGCAAGAATGAAATGTATATTAGAGTTAGCATAGAAGAGCAACAAAATTTAAAGCACATTGTTTGAAATAAATGTGCGGTACATTCAACTACTTGCATTACTACACATAATTAACTACGTGTAAAATTTATGACATACAATTATCACAAGTTAGGTAGATAGAACAAACATCAAATGTACTCACTACTTTTAAATGAACAAACTCTTCAATGTGGTCAATAATGATACACAATTCCAAACCTATGTTTGAGTAGTAAAGAAAAAGAGATGTGAAAAAGAGGGAAAAAAAAAATCAATGCTTCGACTAACAACATGGTCAAAATTTTACTTTAAAATAATTTATTTGTAGTCATAGATGATAGTAAACAGTTTATGTTAAAGTAAAGACAATTTTGCATATGGAAACTTGTCTAAATTATAAGTGATTTTGTCAAAAGGTGATCATCAATAGTGGAGTTGGTGACTTGTTGGATAATTTTAATCAAAAGATTCAAAAACAAGAATAGAATGACAAAAAAGAACCTAATGGCACAAAGACAACTAGATTATGATGTTTTTCAATTGTGGGTTTGGCTTAATTGTAGTTTAATTGCTCCAACTCATGTGTTTTAGTGATACCTAATTTGTAGCACTTTTTTGAGGAATTTTGGTTGAAGGAGATAGTGTGAATTGGGTGCACCCGCTGCGACGTATTAAGTTATTTTAGTACAAATGATATTTATATTTAACGATACTTCGCACGTAATAGCCATAGACATGTTAGAAGTTAAAAATGATAAATTTTGATAATAGCCGCTTTCAGACCCAACACAATTATATGTAATGTTGTTTCATAACTCGACTCGATTTTCTTTACACTTCAATTCTCGCCTACCAATTAATTCTTTAGTTTACCTAACTTTTCTTTTACGACTTTTACGTAATTTTTGTCAGCTCGAACTAATGTATAATTAGGGTGTGTTTGAACCACATTATTTTGAAAGAATGTATTCTGAAATAGTAGATTGATAAATAATGTGTGGTTGAAAAAGAAAGAAAATTTATTGATGTGATGGAAAATATTATTTTATTGAAGAATGTGTGGTTGAAAATGAATAAAAGAATGAAAATGAAAATTTTAATATGTACCAAATAGGGGCTAAATATTTTTTGTTACGTACTTATTTTTGCATCTATATAGTATGAATTCAAAAGATAACTCAGTGGAGTGGTAAAAAGCCACATCCAAATATCAACAACTCCATTAATTATTTGGTTAAAAAACAACGAAAATTTTCCCTCCAATTGCATGTGATTATTTGTATGTGGAATCATTTCTTTTAGAAGAATATTTCTAAGGCTGTTTGGACTTACACCCATAAATCTTTTTAAACTCTCACATAGAATTCGTAGTAAAATTAATTATTTTTTTAATGTCATGGAGACTGTACTTTTTGCCCACATCTTTTGTTGTTTTAGATTTAGCCATCGATATGTTTACATCTACTTTAACGTCAAAAGTCGTCACATTTGTTAACAATTACGTGATAAGTAATGATGAACCTATTTGTGATTAACAATTTGAAAGCTTTCATTGTACATGAAGTTTGATTAGACATACAATCGAGTATTGAAATTAGGATTAGAATTCCTCAATTTTAAACAATTTAAGTTATTTTAGTACAAATGATACTTATATTTAACGATACTTCACACGTAATAGCCATAGATATGTTAGAAGTTAAAAATGATAAATTTTGATAATAGCCGCTTTCAGACCCAACACAATTATATGTAATGTTTTTTTCATAACTCGACTCGATTTTCTTTACACTTCAATTCTCGCCTACCAATTAATTCTTTAGTTTACCTAACTTTTCTTTTACGACTTTTACGTAATTTTTGTCAGTTCGAACTAATGTATAATTAGGGTGTGTTTGAGCCACATTATTTTGAAAGAATGTATTCTGAAATAGTAGATTGTTGATAAATAATGTGTGGTTGAAAAAAAAGAAAAATTATTGATGTGATGGAAAATATTATTTTATTGAAAAATGTGTGGTTGAAAATGAATAAAAGAATGAAAATGAAAATTTTAATGTGACTCAAACATGGGCTTAGCTCCCAATTCACCCATCCCACTCACGTACAATTAAATTGGGGAAAATTATATAAAACCAGGGGTTTAGTTTGTCGTTTTTAAAAATTTTCTGAAATAATAGATTGATGTAGAATTTGTGGTTGAAAAAGAAAGAAAAGTTATTGATGTGATGGAAAATATTATTTTATTGAAAAATGTGTGGTTGAAAATGAATAAAAGAATGAAAATGAAAATTTTAATGTGTACCAAACAGGGGCTAAATATTTTTTTTTACGTACTTATTTTTGCATCTATATAGTATGAAGTCAAAAGATAACTCAGTGGAGTGGTAAAAAGCCACATCCAAATATCAACAACTCCATTAATTAATTAATTGGTTAAAAAACAATTAAAATTTTCATACTTGGAGTAATTTTCCCTCCAATTGCATGTGATTATTTGTATGTGGAATCATTTCTTTTAGAAGAATATTTCTAAGGCTGTTTGGACTTACACCCATAAATCTTTTTAAACTTTCTCATAGAATTCGTAGTAAAATTAATTATTTGTCAATGTCATGGAGACTGTACTTTTTGCCCACATCTTTTGTTGTTTTAGATTTAGCCACCGATATGTTTACATCTACTTTAACGTCAAAAGTCGTCACATTTGTTAACAATTACGTGATAAGTATGATGAACCTATTTGTGATTAACAATTTGAAAGCTTTCATTGTACATGAAGTTTGATTAGACATATAATCGAGAATTGAAATTAGGATTAGAATTCCTCAATTTTAAACAAAAAGGAGGAAGCAACACTTTGAAAGAATATTTTTTAAATAATTTTATATAACTAAAGAATGAACAAATTTATTTATTTTATTTTTTACTTCAGCGCATTCTCCCGTGAATGTTAGGTTCATTTTCATTTTATTTGTTTAACTCCCTTGGTGTTTTTTCATAGTTTTCCTCGAGTTTTGTAAATGAGGAGCGTTGCGGTAAACAGATAGCTAACGTAAATCTTATGAGATTTACGTTTATGTTTAAGATGATTTATCATAGGTCAATTATCGATTTTGATAATTTGAAAAAAAAAAAAAGTCAAATTGTCTCTATCTTGCTAAGAAATAAAGTTTTGGGTGGCAAAATAAAGGAAAACTGAAAACGATATAAAGAACAAAGAAACAAAAATTCTTTTGCACGCTATGGAATATTATGAAGAAAAAACAAAAGACTCATTCATCAAATTGGACCAACTTGAAATTAAAGAAGTAACTCACTTGAATTTTACCAAATGAAATTGAACGTATAATAATTCTACATTAAAAATATGTAGTGTCCGTCAATTCGTTTTTCTACTGATAAGGAGACTATAAGGAGCTTCGAGCCTCTCTTTAAAAAAATACGCGTTATGACTTGAATTAAAGTCTCAGAGTATGATTTGAAGATTCGTAATTATCGAAAATTGACGTCCACCAATTGTCATGGATGAAAATCGACAAATTTTGATAGAGAGCTAACCTAATAAAAAGAAATTAGTTTTCACCTACTACTGGCCCGCCTCTACTTGAAGAAATGAAGATGGTACCACTTGCCCATCTATGGAAGAACATATCATTGTCAAAGATTCAATT